CGGGTCTCAAACTCACGAACTGTGAGATCATGATCTGAGCCGAAATCGGACGTTTAACCGACTGAGCCACCTGGGCACCCCCGCTGGTTTCCTTATTTTACCCTGCTACTCCATGCTTCTGTCCTCGGTGCTGTCTTGTTTCCTCCTTGTGCCAGTGGCAGGAACGATGTGCCATGGGAAATGCCTTTATAGAGAGAGGGGTCCAAAGGCAGTTGGCCAAATGGCACATTGTTGGCCAGCCTGGTCCACTGATCATCCATATTTAATGTTTGCAATTGCAGGCAGCCTCGCAAGGGCTGGCATGACAATAATGATAATTGGCATCTATTTGAACATTTACCATGTGCCAGCCACGATGTGGAATACTTGAATAAACATCTCATTTAATTTTCACGAAATCCTGTGAGGAAGCTAGTGTTATCAGCCCTGTTTTATGGAAGAGGAAATTAAGCGAGGTTTGGAGAAGTTAAATAGCTTGTAAGTGGCACAGCTGAAATGCAGACCCAGCGGGTCTGGTTCTGAAACCCTTGCGGTAGTGAGTGAGTGAAGAGCCTGAGTCGGGGAGTCTAAGTTGGAATGCTGCCCTACCACGTACTAGCAGTGAGCCTCAGACGGTCCTTGATGTTCTCCTCACCTGTCGTCGTAAATAGTACCATCAACCTTTCTGAACCGTTGTGAAAAGTATGATTCATGGTTATGAAGGGCTTAGCACTGAGCTTGGCACGTGGTAGGTACTCAGTCTATGGTAACTATTATAACTACTCTTACTTCTATTTGGGTATCATTAACTCTTCCCCATTTACTGTGTCCTGTCTTCCTCAACGAGATCTTTTCTTCTTGAAATATATTTTAGTCTCTTGCCTCTACCTTACCAGTCACCTTTTGTTTGTCCAGATTTCTGTGGAACATGAAAAAGTATATGAAAGGAGGACTTGTGGTATAGCGTGGAATCGTCAGTTGGTATAGCTGACACTCTTAAAAGCGAAGATGGGAATTCTGATTGATCCGAAGAGAGGAAATTCAAGTTTAAATTTAAACTGATGATCCATTCTAGTGAACCAAAATATGTCATCACGGTCTCAGATGAAAGCCAGAAGGCAAGAAAAAAGGCAAAGCGTACAGCAGAGAATGAGAGTTGTCTCCAGGAAAGAGGTATTTATAGCATCTCGATGCAACAAAAGCACTTTCGATCTTCATTCACTGAAAAGTACTCTTCGGCTTAAAGAGAGCTCTAGCCTGGTCATCTGAGATATCCTTTTGGATCATTTCCTCCGGTTCTCATTTTCCTGAAATTGACATTGCTACCATAATGTTCTGATCCCCATACAATGGCAAACACTCCTTCCCCCCATTCTCCTCATGGACTGCTCAGCACGTCTGACTCCAATTGTCGTAGGAACTCTATTCTGGTCTCTCAGCTTGTGGGCAACAGTTTCACAAAGCAATTCTTACTAGTAATGAAAACTCATATAGCCAGGCATAGTTCTATGCCCTTTGTAGGTATTTAGCCATTTAATTTTCACAATACCCTTAGGAGGTATGTACTGTTAGCATTCCCATTTTGCACACAAACTGAAGCATAGATTTAGCAACTTGCCTCGGGTTGTATGACTGGTCCTATGGAGCCTATATTTAGTGCCTACCCTCTTAACCACCACTTTGTACTGCCT